ATGGCCAAAATGGAAGCGTTTCGGCTTTGAAGACGGCTGTTACGAACACATATCACTAATCAAAGCAGGGGAAGATAACCGATTAATTCTGCGAAAAATAATGCTGATTAAGGGCCTGTTCCCACACCGCACACGATTTGTTCTATATTCTATTCGGCTGATGTTTCGTAAGCGAAGAATGCTGAGCTCGTTACTGTTGTTTCTTTGACGCGCTTGAGATAGACTCATACTCCTTTCCTTTCCACACGACTACCTTTGTCCTCTTCTTATCGTATGAAAATCCTAACAATTGTAGTTTCCATAGAATTTTAATAACACAAATACATAATGAGGGCAATAAAGTTCAAGCCCTTTCCTGAGCTGACTGATATTCTGTTGCGTGAACAGTGCAGAACCTCTGGCGAATATGGCTGAAACACAAAATTGAAGGGGCCGTGATTTCTCCCGGCCTTGGTTTCCCAAAATCCATCCCACACGCCATCAATTCACCCCCTACCATCAAGAAACTAAAAGCAACAGTAGTAATGTCATTGCGATAACAGCACTGCTGCGAGATAAATAAAGAAACACAAATTTTATTGAATTAGATGGTAGCGAGTCCAAGTGTTGTGCAAGAGTTCATGCATACGAAATATTCATTTATAAAACTAATGTCAATTGTTTGCCTTAAGACAGAATTGTTCATGTGGTAAAGCTGCACTTAAACTAAAGAAGTCTTTTTTCTTTTATCCATAATCCCAACGTGAGGTTAACTTGTATCAGATAACTAGAAACTTGCACCTTTTCTGTTTGGTTTGGCTGGCTCAACTATGGCGACGTCAGCCTCTGCTTTTGCAATCTCTAAGGAAAGGAGCAGCACAGTGAAACGCCCCATGACTTTTCGTTGGAAGATCATCGTGCCTAGTGATACAGCTAATTCTTTTGTCAAAAGTTTGTTTCTGGTCTACTAGGAGAATTTCTCCACAGTAACGGAACCATAGGGCACTGACCGAAGGGAACCCTTCTGAAGTGCGAAGGAAGAAAATGTTAGGGCTACGGAAAAGAACACGGCTATTTATTCTTTACATAGATTTGCCCAAAGAAAACAAAACACAAGCGCAACAAACCCTATAAAATTCAGTGAATTGAATTTGGGAACTTTTTGTTCTAATCTCGAACACCGTATGCAAGAAACCGTCTTTTTCAGTTTTCGTAGAAATCTTCGTTTGATGCACTCGGTTCTCCTTCGTAGGGCTGCTTCCATTTCTTCTCTACCACTTAAGCACGATGTATCAGAGCTCGCCTATCGCACATTATTTCAGGATTATTGTCACGGTTTTGAAACATCTTTAAAGCGCAGGAAAGTTCAAAGTCCGGCCTAGCAGTGCATAAAATTGTTTAGGCTGGTTTGTTATCTCTTTTTGTTGAATTAATTCTCTTCTGCATTGAGTTACCTGAAAATTGCTTTTATCTTAACCAATCAAAACTGAGTAATTTTTTTCATGTATCCTATTAAGACGAAAACAGCCTAATAAGCGACAAAAAGCAAAAACATTGTTTTCCGTGAGATAAAGCTGATAACCAAATTAAGCAGCAAAAACACCAAAGTATGTTTTCAGTGAGAAAGGCTTAATAGAACGTTAATTAGCAACAAAAAGCAAAGACATTGAATTCGGTGAGATACAGGTTAGCGCAGCCCAATGTAACTGCAAACAACGGAAAACATGCTGAAAAATTGCGTAGTTTAGCAACAAAAAGCAAAAACGGTCTTTTGCGTGAGAAAAAGTTGAAAGCAGCGTATTTTAGCAAAAAAAAATTGTTGTTTCCGTGCCAAAAAGTATAAAAGCAGCTCAATTTAGCGACAAAAAACGTAGAAAAGTTGAAATAAAAACGTCAAAAAGCTCCGAACAGTGCAATTTGGCCTAGAAAATTGATCTGCTTTGTTTAAATGAGATGAAGCCAGAATCAGAGTGATTAACGGGAAACAAGCTGAAAGCCCTCTTCTTCCTAAATGACGGAGGTTAAAAACAGTGCTATTCAGCAGGAAACTAGCAAAAAAAGTTGCTTTCAGTGAGATAAAGCTGAAAGATACGTAGTTACGTAGATATCCTACCCTTAAGCTACCTTAACCATCTGAACTACCTCAACCAATTGAGATAGACTGAGCAATTTTTTCAGTTTAACTGTCTTCTTTAGTTTGACTATTTAACCAGGTGATCTATTTAAGCTAGAATTTGGAGCTCATTCAATTCAATCTGCTAAGGTAGTTGTGCATATTGTCCAGTTGAACCATTAAAGCTGGCTTGAATACTTGAACTACTTCAACCAGTAAGATTGTGTAATCGAAATTTTTCGCTAGTTAACAAGTTAAATCAATTATTCTAGTTCAGTTATCTTAACTACATAAACAGGACTATCTGCGTAACTTAGCTTGCATGGTTCATTCGACAAAATGTATAACTAGCTTGAATGGTTCATCTGCTCAATCTGCACAATGTACCATAATTGACTCAAGTAGTTCAAATAGTCAAACTAGTTTTATAGGATCAGCTGGTTATATATACTGCACAATCTATATTTACTAGTTGTAAGTAGTTCACATGGATAAATAGGCTTAAATGGCTCAACTGGACAAAATGCATGGCTAGCTTAAGTGGTTAACCTGATAAAATAGTCAAACTGGTGAACATAGTTAAATTGCACAAATACAAAATCTATCTTAATTGGTTTAAGTAGTTCCAATGGTCAATCTGGCTTAAGGGTTCAATTGCACAAAATGTTTGACCCAGCTCAAATGGTTAAACTGATTAAATAGCCAAACTAGGGAAAAACAGTTAGACTGTAAAAATCGTAAAATCTATTTCAACTGCTTAAAGTACTTCAAATGCTCAAACTAGCCTGACTTGCTCAACCGGACAAAATGCATAACTAGCTTTAATGGTCTAACTGTTTAAACTGCACAATCTAGCTTAAATGGTTTAAGTAGTTAAGATTGTCAGACTAATGTAATTGGTTTAACTGGTTATATAGTCAAACTAGGGGAAACTGTTAAGCTTTACAAGTAGCTCAAATGGCAAGCAGGCCTGGTGTGATTAGGCTTGTTATGGATTTTGGGCAGTTAAACCATTTAAACTAGTTTGACCATTTGTACAACATGAACAAATTGAGGTTGATTGTGCAGTTCAACCGTTTAAGCTAGTTATACATTTTGTCCAGTGAACCATTAAGCTAGATTGGCAGTTGAACGATTAAATCAAGTTTTGCATTCTGTCCAATATTCTTGTTGGTTAGTTTGATCTTTGGAATAACAGCAACGAATTAAGTAGATTTTGCAATATGTGCAGTTAACTGTCTTCGCTGGTCTGACTACTTAACTACTTGAACCAATTAGCTAGGCGTAACTCGTCTCTTCCTCGTTGATGGGCGAAAAGGGCATAAAACGGAAAATAACCACTGAACAAGGGCGAACAAAACACAAAATCTAAACCATGTCCATGTGCTCCCTGTCTATTATATGATCGCGCAGGCTCATGGGGGATTTAGAAACTCGTTCCAGTCTCTAGCTCGTTCCAATCTGTCACACTCTCTCCCCCAAAAAATTGTTTGGCTAAGAGTTCTCATATACTTTTACACTTAACATACTGGATTTATAAACTCCTTACACTATTTTCCTCAACAGTAGGTTGCGCAGGCCCACAGTGATGAAACTATTTCTGTATTCCTGAATAAATTAAGGCTAAAATAATGCTTATCGATTTATTTTTTTGAGAGCGAGAGATAAACCTCCGGTGCTTACTAAGGCTATGTTATGATGTAACATGCTCACGTGGCCAGAGTTTCTTTCTTAGGGTTAAAGGGTTAAAAAGGGTTAAAAATAACGGAATGCACAATTAGAGTCTGCAGTTGACTTTTAGTGGTGGTACACAAGTCAGGAGGCTGGTACTGTCCCGTCTCCTCGTTACCTGATTCGGAGGTAGTCGTATGGGCATCTGCCGTAGGTACGTCATCACAGGGCTCCACAGCGACCCTCTCTATATCGTCAAGAGGATTATCTCCAACAGCGTCAGTCCTTGTGTGGGTGTGTTCAGGGAGTTGTACCTCATCACAGTTATGTAATTGGTCTGGTGCAGATGATAGTACCTCTTCCTCGTGATAATCTGGTTCACCAGTGGATTTGGGTTTAGTGACTTCCTGCTTCCGGGGATCCTCTACCCAAACGTGGCTCTTTAAGATTAGATTCATCAACAGGTAATGTATCAACAGTAGATACAGGGCAACAAAAAGTTTCTGTGTAACACTCGAAATTTCTTTGATCCTGACTCTCATCTGACTTTGTACACTGGAATATGTTTATCCTTCTGCTGGACGACAACGTGGACTTCATCTTCCCAGTACGCTCTTAACTTTCCTTAACAACCCCGTTTGCTCATGTTTTGGACAAGCCTTCGATTACCAGGCATTAAAACAGCGTTCCACACTTTTTTTTTCATACAGTTTTTTCCCTCGCTGAGCATTTCTGTGGGTAGTTTCTGAGGCTACTTCGTATGCTTCTGGCATTGCACTTTGGGGTAAGAAATAATCCACTGGGAGGCTTAAGGTCAAATATTAGGCCGATCGGAAGACACGGATTTCTGCCAGATAAGGGAAAGAAAGGTGCATAACCTATGGGATCATTTCATGTACAGTTGTAGGCGTGGGTCATATGTTGAGGTGATCACACGACCCGGACTTATGTTTTTTAGGCAGAGTTCTAAGCATCGACAAAATTTTTCTTCCAACTTTTCCGTTTCCTTGGGGTTGTTATGGAGTTGTTCTAGAGTGGTAGGTTTCAATAAGTTTATTTAGTTGATAAAACAATTTTTTCTCGAATTCACTTCCGTGGTCGTGGTGGATTAGGGACTTTAAGCAACGAAAACGGGGTCGGCGACAGGGACTCCAAAACCCGCAAAATGACTGGGGAGAGAACGCCGTTGTGGCGGGAATTATGTTCCCTCCGCTGTGGGAATTTCTAAACAGTTCAGCAGCCATTACAAAACGCCGCTCTATCTTTAAAAGAAGTTTTAAATCAACTTTCGATTAGCCACGATGATGGAGTGATAAACGTTGAGGAACCTCTCCAGTACGATTTAAACAGGTCCGATGATGTTGATCATCTGTACAATTCTTATCCTGGTTTTGACTTCGATGATTTGGAAGACGACGAATGCCTTTCAGAGTTTTGCTTCTACAAGAATGACTTACCATTTCATTTGGGGATTCCTGAGGTAGTGGAGTGCTATCAAAGAAGTATCTGTAGCGGATTGGAGGCTCTTTACATTTTTCTAAAGAGACATAGCTATCCTTGTCGATATTCAGACATGATAGCTCGCTTTGGTAAGCCTGTTCCAGTGTTATGCATGATAAACAACTATATGATCGACTACATCTACCAGGCACACAGTCACAGAATTTTGCAGTGGAATGATAGCATCCTCAACCCTCATTCACTGGAAATATACAGTAATGCCATTACAGCTAAAGGATCCCCCTTGGATAACTGTTTTGTCTTTATTGATGGGATAGTTAGACCAATAAGCAAGCCTGGGTCAAATCAGCGCGTTGTCTACAATGGTCACAAAAGAGTTCACAATGTAAAATTCCAATCCGTGGCATATTCAAATGGAATTATTGGAAATATGTATGCTGATCTCTCTACAGCCTCGGCTCTCTCACGTATTTCTTCAATTGCTGCGTCAAACTCTGAGGGCTCATCAACTGCTATTCCACTGGCCTGCTTTCTTCAGCAACCTTTCTTTTGTGCTTCTTTATTAGAACCAGGTTTATTTGGATTTTCCCTGAGAACCTGCGGTCCCCGTCGCCGTCCCCATTCTCTTTGCTTAAAATCCCTAGCGGCACCACCCATACAATTGCATGCTGTATGAATGCTTTCGTGCCAAAGGAAAATCCCGAAGGCACGCACAGTTCGCTTAAAATGTCTTTAATGACAATTCTTATTCAAAAAGTCTGCTTGTAAAGTTCTGTAAGTCTCTTTCTACTGCAGCAATATAAAATATAATTAGCATGCTCTCACATCTCATTTCGTGAGATGGTTGGTTGTACAAAGTACCAGGGAGAGTAAGATTTCAGGAGAAGGTGAAGGTTTTGTTCGATTATCATATTTCACGTACGTGACATGTTGTCGTCTCGCCTTATTTTATACATTTACGCCTTGCTTTAGATGGTTTTAGATTGTTTGCGAGTGGCTGTAGATAATTTTGAGTTGAAATTTTTGAGGTGGTTGTAGAGGTTGTAGGTGGTTGGGATCATGTGAACTATAGTTGGCCTTGGTCGACATATCGGCCGATACATAGGCCGATATATCGGTCGACTATCGGTCGACTATCAGGGGATTGTCGCCTATCGGTCGACAGTCGACCGACTGTCGGTCGATAGTCGACCGATATATCGGCCGACAGTCGACCGATAAATGTGTTGACCGATATAATCTTAAACCATCGATACTTGACCGATACTTGACCGATACCTGACCGATACATGACCGATACTTGACCTATACATGACCGATACCTGACCGATACATGACCGATACTTGACCGACACGACCGATACTTGACCGACACTTGACCGATACTTCACTGATACATGACCGATAATTAATTCCCCCCGGGGGGGAAGGTTATTCCACGATAAAAGATATTAAACTTTAATAAGTAATACGATTACCTCATAATTTAGATTAAATTGCATGTCTGGAATCCAATTTTAAATTTCTCTTTTGCCGACCATGGTGCGTGTCATCTCCGGCAGTGAATTCCAAGTCCTTACAGCGGCGAAGTAACGAAGAGACCCCAGACCATGTTTTGTACATCTTACTTTAGGTATAAAAGCATATTTGTGCCCCTTTAATTATGATTCTTGTTCTGTACTTGAAATGAATTAGCTATAGTGGTGGGTGTCTTCTTTTGAAAACATCTGTCTATCCTAATTAACATATCCTGGGTGAGACGACCCTCTAATGTGTTATGTATACCAATCAAATTGAGCATTCTTTCTTACGGAAGGGTCTTTCCTAGAAATACATGACACACCCAAGGGCACGGTCCTTTACCCTCTCTGGTTTTTCAAGTATATTCAACCTATTGACTTTGCTTGTTACTTTTTCGAGAAAGATGTGGCGTGAGAATTAAGGATCTGTGTTCACTTACAATAGATCAAAATTGTGAGGTCTACAACGCACGATGTTCATTACATTGGAGACTTACTACTCCCTTTTCAAAAGTTAGGTTATAGTTGGTTTTATTATCTGTGCTTTTGAAGCTTCTTTCATTGGACAATGAATGGCATTTTAGCTTTTTTTTCTGCCGCTGCTGTCATTATTCTTTAAGAAAAGTGTCACCGTCTGTCGATAAAGAGCACACAATTTGACTATTCAAAGGGTTAAAAACCTCAAGTTTAAGATATAACGGCAAACAGGAACGTCAGTAGAGTGAACTCGCAATACTTCAAGCCGCACTCATAAAGTTTTGATTTCTATTTCATTCTATATCAAGCGCGTGTCTTTAATAAACGTCAAAACACTTCTAACCCTCTTTGTTCCCACTTGACCGCGAGTTAGACAATTTTATTTTCCGATGATGTATACGCTAGTGTACTTAATGGTGGTGACGGTTGAAAATATAGATCCGTATTAGGTTCCGCCGGTAGCTTCGTAAATCCACTTTATAGGGATACAACTGTTTCGAGATATTTGTCCTACGAAAGCTTAAAAGCGTATGCGACAATACCAAATGGCTTTTTGGGTAAAAGTAATTTACCACTACTTGGTCGAAGTTCTCGTTGCTTTAAAGAGAGGTAGCACGAACACGCATGTCCATGGATTTTCCTTCCTTCCGGCAAGGACTGTGAGCTTCGATCAAACAAAAGCAAACAGCCGTTGCCCATACAACCTGTCGATATTGCAGCGTACGGTTTTACGCTTTTGTACGACATCCTTTCTTGAAATGGCTGTATACACTCTCTCCTCCGGCCTATTTGTGGCACAAGTAGGCTGGGGAGAGAGAAAAGAGAGCGCGCTCACATTTCCTTGGAGGGGGGACTGGTGGGAGGCTCTGCGGAATAAAGGGGGGACGTAAACGGTTACTCCGCGTTCGAGAGGTTGAAACACGAATCATAGGTGCACCAACAATTATAGGTGCTGCACGATTTGTGCGTCACAATAAACAAGGCGACGAAGATCACACCGAGAGCCTGGAAAAATTAATGATTTATGTAGCAAAACAATGGCTGTGCGCAAGTGCTTTAAAAAACACTGGTTAATTTCCTGAGTGTCCTCCGCAATACAAGATGTACACTGGTAACTGCAGTTTGTCATCCGAAAAAAATTACATTCCAAAACTCAAATGGGATATGGTTTCTGATCGCATGCGTTTTAATTGACTTTCTTTCCTACGATTTGTAAAAAGCCAAGATTCTTCGAGTGGTAAAACTGAGCTCTCATATTTGAGTGGATGAAGAGGGAACTACTCTCGCGCCAAGAGAGTAGCGCCGTAAAATTTTTGTTTCAAATTTTTTTTGTTCTAAAGATGTGCCAGGGTTTTTCCGAAAACGTTCCTCTGTAGGAAAATGAGGCAAAACAAACAAAAAATGCTTGCAGCTCATAAATTTCCTCCAGTCCCCCCCCATTTAACTCTCTAATTTCCGTCCATTAAAAATAATGATGATAATGATGATTAAGATAATAATTGCTTCACATTGCTACACATCTTTCAATCATTAACTATAGGCCACGAAGTTCGTCCCAAAGCAGTAATTTTTGGTTAACCGTTTTCGTTTTCAAAAAAGGTGCAACAACCTTATTGCATAGGATTCTGTTATCATGATGGTCTACATTTAAAGCCTAGAGAACAGTAACAACAAACAAAATTCCTTCAAAACTTAGTGCTCTAAAACATTTTCTTGGCACACATTAAAAGGGCAACAATTTCTTTTAGCCAAAATTTTAATTTGTTAACACATTGATAAGTATAAACTATCCGTGGAGATGAACATATTTTAAAAAAACAAAAACACATAATCTTACAAAACCTATAACCCAAAAAGTAACAGCAAGAGTGACTTAACTCGATGAAAACCGAAAAACCGAATAACATTAATCAACATCGAAAAACTACCAATTAATAAATAAACGATGAAAGAACTCAAAACCAAATTCATTGAAAATCAAGATAATAAAAAATCATTAGTCACTATCCTTTGAAGATCAATTGCACAAATGTAAGCTTATTTGCACCTTATCTTCTTCTCGCAAATGGCTATGGAACGTTCTATTCTCTTCTCTTCCATTCCAGCAAGTCGATCTCACCGTAATAACTTCAACAGAAAAGTAACGCCATCCGAATTATTCCCAAATCTTCGGCAAAACCTGTAGCCAGATTAGAGCCGAAATGCCAAAAAAACTGTGCGCATTTTACGCTGAAAATGTTAACAATAAATGTGCTCATAAAGAGATTCACCACGATGCCTCGTATACATTGTATTTCATTCAGGTCTTTTTTACAACAGAAAACATATCCGCTAAAGCACACACGAAACATTACATCAACCCTATTTCAGTTTATAATACCCACTTATGTCCTACACCTGCTAGGAAACAGTCCTTCTTAATTTTTTCTATGTATTCAACACGTTTTAATGAAATTTGTTTCTTCCTATGCACAGTTCCAAAGGGGACGTCGACTTCGAGGAGAGAGATGGGTTCTTGGGCATTTTGACACACAGTATGACCCCGCTCGACCGTATTTATCGGCGAGATGCACGTACTCTTTTGCCCATTTTCCAAAGACACGTACAACCAGGCTCTTTGGTTTATACTGATGAATGGGCGGCATACAGGCAAATGTAAAGGGTCTTGGGTTTCAATCATCAAACGATTAATCATTCGGTTAACTTTGTAGACCCAATCACCGGTGTCCATACACAACACGCAGAGAGCAATTGGTTTGTAGCAAAGGACAAATTTAAGAAGATGAAAAGGAACACAAATCCTAACTTCCTGCAAGAATACCTTATGGAATTCATGTGGAGAAGATGGCATGGTGAACCTCACCCGAATGGCTGTTTTGGACGGTTGATGGAGGACATTGCAGGACAATATCCATTTTAAATACCTAGAGGTGGGGGTACTTCCATATACATGTATGTGCCGCGGGATAGGGTATGGTTTTGGCGGTTATCAATTTTGCCTCTGTTAGCATTGTGTTTCCGGTGTGATCTTTAGATAGGGTATGTAAATTGTATCAGCTAAAATTGCAGTGTGTAAATGCCCAGCTAAACAAAAAGCAAATTCCGCTAAAATTGTCAACAAAGCGTTTAGCCGTTGTTGAAATATTGTTTTTCCTTGGATAGGGTGTCATATTTCGTGTTTGGACAATTCTCGTTTTCTTCATCCTTAATGAGGGTCAGGGTTTAAGACACTTCTAGGCACACACTTATTCAAAATTTACGGGAGTACTCCCCCTTCCCCGAAAGGGGACAGTTCCTGATCTTCGTGCAATATTGATGCAATTTGGTATTTTTTTTCAATTTTAGACTCAGAAGCATTTACAGTAAAAACCCGCTTATAGGAATCTAATTTTTTACAAGCAAGACTAAGAACGTTATTACGAAAGATGGTGCTTAACTGGAAAATTTG